TGAACACTGTATAAGAATAATAGTTCATTTGAACCTGCCGATTTTTTTAATTCAGCCTAAACTCAGCAATTAAAAATACTATATTGCCTTGGTTCTTAATTTATTCCAAGTGCCAAAATATTTTTGGGGTTGATATAGTGATAGATAATTTTTGATTTGCGTTATGGACTTAAGGGGTAAGATAATGTGGCCGAAGCCCCATGCTGGCCGCAAAGACCCTCGAAGGCTTTTGGCAGTTCCAAATTCTAGGTGTGTTGCAGTACATTATTTATCATAATTACTGCAACCATAAAGATTGATTTAATAATATATGCCAAGAGAAGACGCTTCATTTTCCACTATTTTCTGCTTATTGATGATCTTATTTCTTCCTTGTGTTAAATCACAAAAACAAAAGTACAGTGGTGGATGAACCCTGTGTAAAGGAAAGTGACGAAAAAATCAGGGCTGCGGGGGCTGTAACTTGCAGGCTAATACAAACCAAATTTTCAGGGTTTTCCATTGGGGCCTGGGGCTGGCACCCCAAAATCCCCTATGTTAATTTGGCCCTGCAAAAAATACAACAGGTACTGTACTGGGTTTATAATATATCGTCTGATTTTTTTTTTTCTGTATGTGCTCAAACTCAATACTTTAAAAAAACTACGCCTTCCCATCGGCGGCACACCTCACGCGTAGCATAATGACTGTGTTCATGAAGGGCAATATTTAAAACAAATAATATAAACAATAACAAGGCAATGTACAAAACATGAAATTAAAAGGACTCTTATAGGCCTATAAAGAGCGAGATAAAATAACCAGAATTTTCAAGAGGGGAAGACCTTAAATTGGGATACCCTTCAGAAGTTGCGAAAGCTTTATACCGGCAATCTAAAAATCAAAATTTTCTGGGATTCACCCCTGAAGTAGTAAAGCGAAAATCGTCCCAGCAGTCGCATGTTTTTTTTGTATCTCCGTAACGAACTGTGTTGAGAAGAGCTCTATTTGACAGGGGTCCTGCCACCACAAAATTTGCATTCGTTGGGAACTGACGGTTGTAAGTAGCATGAGGAGGATGTGAAAAAGCCAAACAGTTAAAATTGTTGGCTCAGTACTGAGTTTTGGTTTTCACTTTATTGAAAAAAATATTCATCAAATGATTATTACTTTTTATAGTGTTATTTGTTATCAAATTTGTCCCAGGGGATATTGAAGACCATCATTTTATAATATACCACGCCAGCTCCCACCGACAACCCTCAAATGTTGGAGACAGAAATTTCATTATTTTGAATACTTCATCAATTTACATTGTTCTTCCTTAGGGTTAAGTTAACAGTTAAAACATGATTAGAATATTTCTGAGAAATTACAGTATTTAAAAAGAAGAAAAACTGAAAATTGTTATACACAAGAAGCAATAAGAAAGTTATTAAATCAAATTTTGGGAGGAATGCGAAGTTAAGAATTTATTGAATTGTGTGTATCTGGGGGAAGATTGTTGTCATTGTCAAGTGGGCTATTGCATCATTGATGCTCTTGTAATATGTAAACCTTGGTGAGGATATTTGAGCAGACCTTGCAAATGAATTTTACAAATACTAGGTAGGTCGTTTTTAGCAAATTATTGGATCACAGCAAAATCTGAAACCAGACCTTTAAAATCATGCCAATAAATAACATCTAGCTTTATTTTTACAGATAAGTATTTTGTGCAATTGGTTTACTGTGATGCACGGCTTTGGAAAAGTTGTAGGCCCTATTAATTGGTTGTCTAATAAGTTTCCATGTACACTGCTGCTGGAATTTACTGATTTCTACCATCAGATTTTGAAATCGTTGGGCAAAATGAAAATCCACACTAAAATGTTGTTTTGAAAACCATCTCTGGCGAAAGTAAACACTGTATTGAATGTTTTTTTCCCAATTTTAATTCAACAAAACACATCACTACTAATAAGCAAGTTTAGCGTCCTTTAACATTTTGTAAGATGTACCCAGAAGCCCAGTCGAGCTGCAAATTACATTTGACCTAAATATGATCATGATGACTATATGGGCACAAAAAACAAAACATTGATAGTGTGTACATAGCTCTAGGATATGCTGTACCAGCTAAACATTTTGAAAAAAAAAAAGTATTGTACAGTACACAGTATGATATCAATGCATTATTCACAAGGAAGTCTATTTCTTCCAACACTATATGAAAAGTTCACTGTTATAAGAATTTTAAAATTATGATGAATCATCATTTTGCTGCCTCGCTCGCTTCATCGACTGCAAGGCTTTCTCCCTTAGTTTCAATTCCAAATTTTCCAAATCATCGACCTCACTTTCAGATTCCTGAGGGAGAAAAAAACTTTGAATAAACACTTGGCATAACAGGTATAAAAATTGAAATTTTGTGTAGCACTATGAATTATAATCTATTCACGAAACTCTTTCACCCTGTGGGTGTTCTTACAAAAGGCTGTGGGGTACATAAATACAATTATTGTACTGTAAATGCGTTGTTTCATCAGATGCCTCTGAAATAGGTACCACACTATTGCAGGGAATATGGGACAATTTTTTTTTTTAAACCATTTTTTTACAGATTGAATAAATCGACGATTACACTAAAGATGAATTCAGATCTACAGCTGTGCTGGAGCTAATAATTCCCCAATAAAAACAAGTCTACATAGATTGGTATGAAAAATGAAGCCATGGGGACTGAAGGGCCCTGGTGGAGGCCAGGGGAGACAAAATTTTTTTTGGGGGGAGGGGGGAGAGTAGGGCCTGCACGCAGTAGCGGCTCTAGGATATATTTTCTAGGGGGGGCTAAGTTCTCTGACGGGGACTTGAGCTCGTGGGCTCGAGCTGGGAGAGGGGGTTCCCTCCCAAATCTGATTTTTTTTAAAGAATATCAACCTATAGATGGCTGAAAATGGCACTCGGACTGTGACAGACATGTGTTGGCTTGGTGTGGGCCTATTTTTATATGCTTTATGGTCTGAATGCCCGACGAGCTCTGTCCGGCAGCTAGGGCTTGACCTGCCCGGTGGGGGGCTTAAGCAACCCCGCTGGCGCCGCCACTGCCTGCACGGTGCAATTTTACTTTACACTAGAATGTATGTTGAAATCATCGGCATCGTAAGGGCTTGCAGATAAGGTATTGCTGGTATTGATTAAAAGTTATATTCCGCCACTTGTACTAATGTACTCACATTAGCTACTTGAGCTTTCTTGGATTTTTTATGCTTCTTGTGTTTTTTGTGCTTCTTATGTTTCTTGTGCTTCTTTTTATCTTTCTTCTTTTCTACTGCAGCCTGTAAAGAATGTTAACATTAATTTACAATAACATACATAGCAATGAGAAGACAAAACTTATCCTTTCCCCAGTATTATCTGATGAACGATAGTAAAAAAAAAAAAGAACGATAGTAAAAGTATTATCTGATGAACGATAGTAAAAAAAAAAAAAAAAGAACTATAGTAAAAAAAAAAAAAAATGATGATGGTAAAATCTTCATTCTGTCCAGTGAGGCACAGAACCCCTGGCAGGGTAGAAGCAATCATTTCACCCTTATAGGGAACACAGTTTTCAAGCTTTGCTCTTACATGGTCACACGACTTGTAGAAGTGGGTCCGAAACAAGGGGTAAATTGGGGATGCTGTCCCTGACTCCCCCCACCCTCCCTCACTGTTAAGGACGAGGGAAATAATAATAATAATATTTATTTGGCAATCATCATGTACAATTTAAGCCCGGAGTGAGAATAGGCACAAGCCCAAACAGATACTGCACTCACTCCACCTTATACAAAAATGAACTAACACCAATCAAGTTTTGTAATTATACAAAAACAAAAATATAAAAGCACTAAACAAAAAATTACAAACAAAATACAATAAAGCAAGCACCCAGAGCTGCCTATCCCTTAAGATTGATTTGGAATGCTTGTTGAGGAATCTCTGGTACCGCCACTGGTTAAGTTTAGTGTCCCCTCACTATATTCTTCAAATATTATACAGGTGGCCGAACACTAAAAAATACATTTTGATTCCAAAAATTTATTGCAGTCCACATTTCTTTGCCATTCTAAACAATATACTCTCTCCCCTTGACCCTCAACAGGGGTTTTACTTCGACAAGAAGCCCCTCAAGTTTTGGGGGTTTCATATCGGACTTGTTGCAACCCCTTGTCGGCATATTTCTTGAGCCACTACTTCATAAGGGTTGCCATCCCAAAAACAGCATCAGTGACCGAAAAAATTGACAAATGACTGTTTAATATATTCTTATTCTCCACATTGCAAGCTTTCAAATGATGGGTCATTTAATGGAATCGACTTACCATTGCCAAAGTTAAGAGTAAAAGTATTGTGGCTTGTACTAAAGTATATACTACTGCAACATTATGCTAATTACAGTACTCTGGTTTTGGAATGGCAAGCCTCATATGTTACGAATTACAATATTTACCTTTGGTGAAGCACTGCCTGCCTTGTTTTTCTTTACTTTTATTGGTGTTTGCTGAGAATCGTTTACATCTGAATCATTCTCATTCTGATCAGGACTACTAGAATCTCCATCTGGCGATGACATTTTCTGCCTCTTTTCAGGTACTTTCTCAACTCTCTTTTCACTAGCCTTCCTTTTTTTGTCTGATACTTTTGCTTTTTCAACAGAGAGGGAACGTTTCTTTTCAACAGGTGTAGGCTCTGGACTGCTGCTTGACTGCCTTTGTCTTGGCGGTGGTGATGGACTCCTATTTGTTTTTTTCATAGGAGATTGTGTCTTGTGTTGGTGTGGGCTGCTCTTTCGTCCAGACCCTGATTGTCTTTTTGGACTTTGTGTACGTCTGGATCTTTCTGGTGATTCTTGACGACGTTCTCGGTCATGTCTTCTTTGCGGTGATGGACTTCTGCGACGCCGGTCTGGAGAAGGACTTCTCCTGCGTCTGTCAGGTGAAGGACTCCTTCTGCGTCTGTCAGGTGAAGGACTCCTCCTGCGTCTGTCAGGTGAAGGACTCCTTCTGCGCCTGTCAGGTGAATGTCTTCGATTTCTATCTGGTGATGGACTCCGTCTAAAGTATGAATCCATGGGGCGCCTAGAACGCTGTATTATCGGGCTTCGACGTCTAGGTGGAGATCTGTACCTGTAAACCGGAGAACGCCTTGTCCTCACAGGGGAATACCTACGTCTTGGTGAAGGAGATCGCTTTCTTGGACTTGGTGTCCTACGTCTTCTAGGACTTCTTGAATGAGGCCTGAGGTATTAGAAATAACAAAATTGCTCAATTTTAGGGGAAAAAACGTGTAATCAGACGTCTGTCTATGGACAATTCCGCCAAACACACAATAACAATGAATACAATACAATAATAAATGTTAACTATAAGACACCAGATACACTGTTGGAAAATGCAATTTGTAGCTCACAAAAAAATTCACATCAAGAAATCTAATGGAAAACACAAAATCAATATGTAATTTTTCTCGATCTTGTGGAAATAAAGTTCATATATGCTCCCTCCACCATGAAAAAATTTAAATTTTCTTTAACTTTTATTACACCCTCCACTCCTCGGAAATCTCCAAAAATAAGATATATATATTTTTTCCTTAATTATATATATTTAAAGCATTTATCAATCTCATTACTACACTATTTAATTCATTAATAAAATTATATTTTTATTTTCTCCTCTGTCTAGATGGTTTTGGCAAAATCATTTTGCTAAATGATAAAACAAGATTTAATTTTTGTTTCTGCCCTGCTTTGATGTTTAAAAGTTTACTAACCTGGCCATCACGATAAAACTATAACGCCTTTTGAAAGTAATTTTATGCTGTTCTCAACATTTACAATTTTATAATACAGTAATACATAATGGGAATTTATTTAACACCAAAAACAAAAATACCCCCAACCCCTAGGAACAGTAAGTAAAAAGCCAAAAACTTACTCTTCTCGCCTTCTAGGAGGGCTCCTCCTTCGTCTAGGTGGTGAAGCAGATCGACTTGATGATTTCGATTTCCTTGCTCTACGGCTTTTTGCAGGTTTCTCGTCTTCACTATCTGAGGAGCTGCTTGATGAATGCCGTCTGTAAATCCTCTGTGGGAATCTGCTCTTTTTAGGAGATGGCACCTTGGATTTGTCAACTGAACTATCCGAGTCACTATCACTTTTTGTTTCTTTTTCAGCTACAGTTTCACTTGTCTGCATAAAGAAAACACAAAATCAATAGTAATTACAATTAGAAAATAAAAGATTAAATTGTTCAATTTTTTTTAAATCAAATTTTGAATCAATGTTCCAATAAAGAGTAGATTCAAACATCCTGTTTTAGCAGAAAAAAATCCTTAAATTGTTTACAATGCCAAATTAATGGTCGATACAAAGAATTAGGAAGAACAGGGAGCTTTCGATTGCACGACGACGGTCGTGTAATATAATGACGTCACTAAAAGTCATCTGCGCATGAAAGTACATTAAGTTCTTCTCGTCGCATGGATTCTAGGACGCAATTTGGCCAAATCTATGTATGCAGAGAAAGTAGGATGGTCACGCATGAGTGATTCCGTTCTAGCGTCACGTAAATCAAAAGCTCCCTACTGTTTACTTGTGGAATTGTAACTTGGTGAAAACATTAAAAGCTAATAACAAAAGCTAGAAAAAACTACAAATAGATTTCCGCTCGTCTGTTGATTGTGTAAACTGAGAGGATCATCATTAAAAACAACTGCACGCGCCCTATCACATTACATGCTTTATGAAATCGCATCAGCCAACCATTGTTGGTGCAGTATGTGCCAAGATTTAGCATTGAAATATATTGAAAATTATTCTAAATTGATTTATCGATTTATTGCATATTATGCAATACATTGAGAAATTTTTATTAATGGGAAATCAAAAAATACTAGCTCGGTCTCTGGTAGACTGACCTACATTCAAATTTGCAAGCCATTATTGGGACCTTAAGTGAAAGTAAAATCATAAGTTCAACTGTATAAATGGTTTTTCCATACATGAATTACTTAATTTAAACGTAAGCATTACAGTATCATTAAAACTGCGTGTTTACAAATCATATTTAAATAGGAATGATATTTTACTTTGGAAGCTGCTTGTTCTAACTTCTGCTTATAATGAGCTGGAGGGGGTGATGGAGACTTTTCTGCCAGCACTGGTTTAGGTTTTTCCACTTTTGGCTCATTCTTTGCACCTGCTGTTTGTGGAGTGCTAGAATCATCAGAATCAGAGGAGCTTGATGAGGGTTTCCTGTCTACAAACTTCTTTTTCGGCTTTGGAGTTGGCGATCGAGAGCTACTAGATGAAGAGTCGGAACGAGATGCTGAGGAGTCTGAATTTGATGGTGATCTACGACTTCTGCAGAAGAAAAAATATATTTATTAATAAATTAACTTATGTGTCCTATTTCAATTTTCACTGAGGCCTGGAGACCCGCAAAAGGGAGGATCAACATGTAACAGATGCATTGTCCCTTATCCCCACATTATGCTCATCTCCTTGAGCCTCGCATGAGGTGGGGCGCTAGCTGGGTTTGAATTGGGGTCCAAACAAGAAGTGAAAACGTTAACTCTCAACCAATCACTCACTAGAGGAACAATTTTGCAAAAAATTCACACTTCTCTCTATATCTACCATCATTATTATTCACCATTACATAACATACTTTCTAACTGGTGGTGACCGTTTCCTCCTTACGGGCGAAGGACTATCAGATGGGCTTCTAGCAGGCCTGCGACGTGGAGATGATCGCCTTCGTGGAGAAGGTGCTCGTCTACGTGGAGATGGGCTCCTCTTCCGTAATGGTGAAGGTCTCCTATGGGGAGAGCGCCTCCTTGGTGATGGCCTCCTTGGAGATGGAGATCGTCTTCTTGGCGACCTTCTTCTTGGTGGTGTACGTCTCCGTGGTGACCTTCTGGGAGATCGTCTTCTTGGTGGTGTTCTTGTCCGATATCGTGGAGATGACTTTCGACGACGAGGAGAAGGTCGTCTTGGGCTGCGAGATCTCCTGGATGATCTTCTTCTAGGCGATCTGTGAAAGAAAATCTTACAAAGTTATTTTACAATAATTTGCTTATTACCTGCAACTGATTTTCTACTTCAGTGAATAAGCGGTAATGATTAAAATTTAAAACATGTCTTCTGACTTACCTAGATCTTGTCCTACGTTTACGCCTATCACGACCTTTAGAGGAACTACGAGAGGAACTTGACGAACTTGAGCTGGGGCTTTTGCGCCTTCTGTTTCTTGTCCGTTTAGAGTTGTCATCATCACTGTCAGCATCTGATCTAAGTATCAAGCAACAAAGACTTTTTCAAAAATATGCAATTGGATATAATGTACATGTGCTATACATTGCTAATACCAACCAATGGAAGCAGTCAGCAATTGTTTTTACCGGATGACCTTCTCTGCACGAGCATAACAGTTTTTCCCAATACATGTTCTTGATTGTATTAAATAATGTTAAAAATTGTTTGTATATAATGTATTTTCACATTACTGTTCAAAAAAAAAGTTTATAATAATAGCAATATTTACAATTATTTAAATCACAGGTAAATATAGAAACAATATTTATCAATTTACATTTATATTTAAATAAGAATCGTTAATACCTGGCTTTTCTTTTTATCTGGCCAACAGGTGGTGGAGATGGACTTCCCTTTGCCTCATTCTTGGGAGAAGGTGGTGAGCGCGATCTCGACTTCTCTTTTCCATCGCCCTCTTCATCATATTTTTTTGGTGGATCCCAGTCCCACTTTGCTGGTCTTGGGGTTATTCTGCTGAGTGTAAACAAGACAAAATTGAACCACCAATCGATATACACCACAATATTTTGAAACACTGCTATGTTAAGTCAGGGTTTGAATTTCACAGCACCGACAGCAGTTGTATTAGAAAGGGCATTCCACTGCTGTTGTAAATCCCAGGCTTGACAGCAAGCTTTTTGCTATTGAGTAAGCTTATTGAGTTACCTGACCCAGCAATGGATGGATTGTACATTTATAGAATAGGCCTATTCTTACAACAATTTACGAAGCTTGTTGCTGTAGAAGAAGAATAAATTGGTTAATTGGCAACGGTCCACATAATGCAGGGGTACCAAGTCTCCCAGAAGTGGTGGGAGTTTCCTGGAAGCCCTCCCGCCAGCAAGCAAGAATCTCCCGGAAAGTAACCCATCTCCGCAAATTCACGATATTTGCATGTTTCTACCAAATCTTAATACTGTATTATTAGTTGGCTCCTGGATGTCAGTGCCAATGGGTATTACCATCCACAGCAGGCTTATGCTGTTAACCTGCGTGTGGTGACCCGGCTACAACTGTTCCAGTCAACTGAAAACAGCAACTAGAATCCATTATATGAGATTATTCGCTAAAGGAAGCTACATTAAGACCTCTGTAGCTCCTGTGATTAAGGATTCACACAAACGAACCATCCACAGCAGAATATATTTAGATGTGTTAAGAAAGCTCATTTAAACAGATTTCCTAGATGTGAATTCTTCCAACTTGGGACGCCTGCATAATGTAACTATTAGCACTGGTACTTTTACCACAAACTCTCCTACAGAACGTTACTTTATTGTATGATATTCAGCTTTTGTTTCTTCTAAATCTAAATTAATAAAACTCGTCTGGGAGCATCATGCACATTTAAGTGAGACTTGTGGTCTGTCAGGTTGTATGAGTTGCAAGAATTAATACCACCTCATGCACATTTAAGTGAGACTTGTGGTCTGTCAGGTTGTATGAGTTGCAAGAATTAATACCACCTCAACATACAAAAATACTAAACCATTAAATATTCTAACATAACAAAAAAAAAAACAATGAGAAAAAACAAAGCAATTAACTAAAGGCAGAGGAATCATTTAAACTGCTCCTTTTTCTGGCATGTTCATGCCCAGGTGAGCTCTGGAGGCAATGGCACCTGACTAGTTTAAACTGATAGCTATTTATATCACATCAGAATGGGCAAATTAGTAGAATGTTGCCAAAATGTTGAAAAGACAAACAACTGATTAAATAGCTTACTTTTGTGGTGATTTAGATTCTGCGTCATCACCATTTGCATTTGCTTTATCATCATCATCTTTTTTCTCATCATCATTTTCTTTTAACTTTTTATGCCTTTCTTTCTCCTTGTCTTGCTGTCTTTTTAATCCTGCCTGAATCTGTTCTTGTTCCATCTGAGCATAAAAAACAAAAGCCTTAACTTTAAGGTTGATATCATTCATTATTTTGTAAAATATGACTTAAGTTAGCAAAATCGAAGACTTTTCAATTATTTTGATGTAAATTTAACCATATAACAATGAAAACATCAACAGTTCATAAAAACATCAGTCTTTTTACAAAGTAATATTATAATATCTACCTGTCTTTTTTTTATCTCTTCTTTCTTTTGTTCCAGGAAGGCAGCTGGTATACCAGCGATGTTCTCCTGTGCACTCAGCAACAATTCCCAAAGGGCTTCCATGAACTTGTTCGCATTCTTTGCATTTAAAAACCCAGTCAAATTAATCTGCATAGTTTTTGGGTTTGGAACCTGGACAAAAAGATAGAAGGAATGTTAAATATTGCCATGTAAATTCAGTGATCTGAATACTCTTAGCGCATTGAGGCAATTTTATTGTGGAAGGCGCTTTAAATAATATACAGTACTACCACTACCATACTTCCAAGCCAATGAAAGGAACCAACCCACCAAAAATAGGTTTGAATTATATAATTTTAATCCTATAGTATAAGGAATACAGGGATTTCTAATGTAGATTTATAAATTGTTAATGTCCAACGACATCATAGAGTGAAGACCTGCTCTAAAGTAAATGACCAAGTTTGTATACATTCAAACCTCTCATTTATGTACACCTTAGGACAAAGTAGTTATTTAATAAATCAGAATCAGATGTCAACACAAGCAAACGATTGATCTCGTTCAACACAGTGAAAATGGAATAAATATATTTTAAAAGTTTTTGGAATATGTTGTTATTAGGAGTATTCTAAATCAGAGGTTTAACTGTCGTGGCACTTACCTTGACTGCCGGGGCATCACCAGAGAGAATGTTTTGACCGATCTAACTACTTTATATCAACCCTCATTGGTGCATCATGACTGTGTTTTATTGGTAAATATATAATTTTCTTAATGTGTTCTTAAGGATATAAACCAATTCATCGCTCAACGAATCTGCCACGTTGGACATCGCTTAGCGCATCTCTTGCTAAAATATAAATATCTTTCCTTCAACATGATACACCAAAAAGATTAACACATAGAAAGAAGATGTGTAAACTTTTGTTTATTTGTTATGATTAATGGATGACATAGACATGGTTTCCTATTACTGAATTTTTCCCATTAAAGATATTTTGTTCCTCAAGAACTGAGATTATATCTTTAGAAATCCTCTTTACTTGGTGAAGTAATCACTATACAGCTGAAATTGGCTAAATTGGACGATAATCAGCTGGACGGTTTTCATTAGCTCATAATTCGTGCTGGATGATATGGAAGGATTTTAATAATAATTAACAACCGACAACTACCAGTCAGTTCACATATTCTACAACATTTACCAGTAATTACCAGTATAGTATCTACACCTCATAAGTCATGCACTGACACATATTATCCTCACATAATGTACAAACCACTCAGCGTTATTCATGGAACGAAAGAGATGCGTGGACATCCGTGCTTAAATAGGCTGGTGCCGTGCCTCAGGTGGTAGTGCGCGTGTGGCAGCATTTTCCCTGAGATTATTTTAACATTTTATCTGCATCGGGAGATGAAACAGTGGTAATCAGTGGCATTGTCGACAATTTAAAAATATTAATTATTTCGTAAGTTTAATTTGGTATCATTCATTACTTCTGTATTTTTCAATTATGAAATTAGTTTCTAAACATTGAATTTGAAATATGCAATAATTTAATTATATTTCAAATTAAAATTTAACGTAATTGCGATTGCTTAGAAGGGGGTTCTAAGTATTCTTGGCAGCTTTATTCCAGTTTAGGTAAATTTTAGCTATTATTTTATAAAATATATTCAATATAATTATTCTCTAATTGTCAGCCAAATCTTTGGAAAAAGAAATTAAATTGATATAATTAATTACAATGCATTGAGGTGATAGCTCTTTAAGTTATTCAATGCATTTATTGTTGACATTTTCATCTAAAAAATAATAATTGAAAAATATCTGAACCTGTAAGAAAATATACAATCAACAGTACACTGATAATGTTGGAAGAAATGGATTTTTGTTGTTAATTATCTAAGGCTTACCTTGTATGAGATATCAATGAACCAAAAAAACAAAAAAAATTATTACCAGGAACAAATGAACCAAAGCAGAAGCTAGAATTCTATTACAAGTCTTTACTAAATCACTTACTAAAGCCTGGTTTTTATAAATATAATTTAACTACAGATAGTGAAACTAGAAGGTCTACCAATTTGTCGCTCACATCACAAACTACTAAACACAAATCAATGAAAGTAGATTGTATTAGTTCTTGAAAACAAAGAAGTTAAATTAAGCGTGTATTGGTTGTCAAGCAATTTTGTATTCTTTACCACACCAAAGTAGTGTAACAACAGCGTGTTTTTTAACACACATTATTGTTTTCACAAACTAACACTATCTATTTTTATGTGTTAGTATGAGATTTTTGCAACAAATTAATCTTGGATATTGCATACATAGACATTGCCATTTGCTTCATGTTGGGATTCAGAGAGCTAACTTAAGTTTTTTTGCAAGTTTATTTAAATGCCTTGAACATATATCGCCAATTTATCCATATACAGTATTAAAGTTAATGGGAAACTTGCACAACTGCAAGACAGTATTTTTTGCATGAAGGACAGGATATTACCAAAGCTGTAATATTGGTTACATGGAATCCAGTCTATTGCCAATTTATTCATATACAGAAATTTAATGGAAAACTAGCACAACTGCAAAAGACAGCATTTTTTTGCATGGAGGACAGGATATTACTACAGCTATAGTATTGGTTACATGGAAACCAGTCCATTGCCAATTTATAGATATACAGTAATCTAATGGAAAACTTGCACAACTGCAAAAGACAGTATTTTTTGCATGGAGGACAGGATATTACCATAAGCTTTAGTATTGGTTACATGAAAACCAGTCTTTTCTCAAAAAACAAATCTTGCTATTATCATTTACACCAATGTTCTTTTGCAGTCGCTGATTGACAGGGTACAGTACTGTTTATTAAGAACACTGCACCTAATGATTATTGGACATTTAGTCCACATGAGCTGGGGTGGTAGGCCAGACATCAGCATCTTCTTGAAGATTGTTCTGCTTGGGTTTTTTTTTATTAAGTTTACTTTACAAGCGGTTATTCAAAATAAACAAATCATTGGTGATGTTGGTAGTCTATGAGTGGATACTTGCCTGGATAAACCGACTAACAGGTCTCAAGCTGAGTGTCATACCTGTTATACCACGGAGACCTACTAGTCAGTTTATCCAGTTAAGTATTCACAAAGTAGATCAAGATGCTTTATTCATCTGGATGTGGTATGTCTTTTTACCTACGTCTTCATATGTTATGCCATACTAGCAATGTTTATGCTGTATAGCATGGCAATATCATCCATGAACGTCACTCCACTCAGTGTAGTTTCTTACCTTTATTGTATTGCTGCCATATGTTAATCATTTAATCAGTTTCACGATCTGTCGTCCTAATTTTTAGTTGGTTCAGATTTAATTAATTCATCCTTCTACTACACCTGTTTCAATTGAATTCACCATCCTGTGATTGGCTGTTATGTAGCACAAAGCCTCACTTCCGCTGTTACACCTAACAACTAGCATGTATTGTGCATTTGGGTGTAATGATAGATGTCAGACCAGCCACACCTTTTTTGTTTCTGTTTCAAGGAATTTGGTAGTTTGTATGCATTATTAAAGACTATTACAATACACTAATCAACACCATCCTACCTTGTTATCAGGTTTACACAACAACGAATTAAGAGCACTAACATTTACAAATCTTTAATAGAATATACTTTTATATTTAATAGAATATTCAGATACAGGGTAGTAGCACATAATCCCATGCACACTGAAACAAAAGTTTCATATCTAATTGGAAGAATTATTATACTGTATCTGTGATTTGCATTTCCTGAAACCAAAACATTGAAACATTTTGAGCTTACCTCATGTATCCAACTGTACAGAAGCATACCACATTGTTATTCTTATAGTGGCAGAAAATGTTCTCAGACAAATATCCATTTCTTCATGAATTGTAAAACAAATAAATATTAAAAATTTGCTTTTTTAGAATACAAGATAATGTATTTAATTATTATGAAAAACTGGTTGGTAAAACCTGGTAATAATTTCAATTTTAGTATTATAAATTTTGCAACAGTATCAGTGCTAAATAGCTATAAAATTAACTATAAAAAAACTTTAATGAATAATAAAAAACTTGGTATTTCGAATACAAGTTAAAAATTATACTTTACCTCCTCTTCTAACTGATTAAATATGAAGCCAATGAGAACCTCGTCTTCAACATCAAGAATTTCTGTAATTTTTCTTGTTATCCATGGCTTGATTGTGTCCAAGTTCACCTTGCTCATTAGCACCTATCCAGTAATTAGAAAATGATTAGAAAATGAACAAAATGTTAAATAATAAACCTTCTATAAATGATTTGAATGTACAAACTTAAACAGCACAAGCTAAACTGGATTTATTTTCACAAACACAAATTACTTTTATCGTGTTTGCTCATGTGAGCAATGAACTATTAATAACAAAAACATTTTTATAATACTGTAGGAGGTGAATTATTTTCCCATCCATGTGATTTAAAAAAAGATGGGCCATTTATTTTATCTCTGACCTCTTTATGAAGAGTTCAAACATACAATGTATGTTCACACTGTTAAGATAAATAGTTAAGATTCACCAATATATATGTGTCACATGACATGATCATACCCATATCAGTGGAGGGCCCCTCCTAAATTTTTCAAAAAAAAAAAAAAAAATTGAGGAAAAAAGGAAAAATTCTACTCAAATTTTGAATATAAGAGCACCGTTTCTGGTGCATAACCATACATCTTCTTACCTCAGCCCCAACCATGGTGGGGCTGAGGTAGTATAGACCCTTCATCTGTCCCTCTCTGGGCCCCCTCTATTTAAAATTCCTGGATCCACCACTGCATATAATGGCCAAATCACAGATAGTTTATTGCAACAAAGTGTTGACAGAGCATTATGTACAGTAGGATTTGCAGGGTTGTAGCTTGTGAAAACTAAGTGAGGGTGATAGACATTTTGAGGGTGGGTGTGTGATCACATTGGTAAACTCTAAATAATAAGAGTGCATTTTAAGGATGGAAAAGTGGGTAAATAACGGTGGGTGGAAGAGCCATGAAATTAGATTTAGACTGGGTGGAAAACGTCAAGGCTGGATGGCCCCGCCCACCTAAGCTACATCCCTGGGTTTGGGACACATACTCATTGAAAGTTTTGCACTTTACACAAGCAAACTTGCTTGTGAAAGGTGAAAGGTGAAAAGGCAGTGGCCCAAAAAAGGCAGAATGAGGTGAATAGATTTTTTTTTCTATTTTTCCTTATTTTTTGCCCTAATATCATTACATAACAGAATAAAATATCTTACTCTCTTCTCTAAAATATCGGAAAACTTCATCTGCTTCATTAACTTTTTCTGTTTGTTTGCAAAACGATTATCTTGATCAGCACTTGTGCCCTGGTGAAAAAAAAAAAACTTTGGTTTTTAAATTCTATTTTTATTAAGCTACCAGCAACCAATGTAACTATCGAAATACTGTAGAGGCATAAGACATGATAATTTATACCGTTAGACTCTGGTATGCATTCCCACCCCCNTGATTTACGATCGCTTGGTTAAAATGGCTGTCTCTTATACACATCTAGATGTGTAATTTGGATCCGTGCTGCACAACATTGTTAAAAACTAAATGGATTTGTGTGGAAAATCGCTAGGAAAATATGTGCACAGTAATACACTGGTTTATACTGAGATAGGCCAAGGCCTAATTTTCGAAAAAAGTCTGCACAAAAATCAGCTGTTATTTTCTGAAATGCACAATGGATTTCTTGGCCAATTTTTGCACAGAGGATAATTTTCCATGCAGACCTTATTTGACAGTCTGAAAATTCTGTCCATTTTATCCGCAAAAGAGTTTAGCACAATGTATACCTAGGCCTATTTCTAAGTAACAGCTTGATAATCAGTAAATATGGGCGGAGTTGTTTGGTTAGTATTTGCTCTACCTACAAGGCCTATCTAAGGCCTAGGTTCTACTTACTAGCATAACTCATCTACGAAGAAATGCCTAGGCCTAGGGTAAGTCGCTGATTTTTGACATACCCGGTTAAAACTACGTAATTTTTGGACTTTTGGACAATAGAATTACAGGAATCTAATTTTAACAGATGCATGTAACTCATACTTTCCAACTACAAAATCATAAAATTAAATTGCATCCTGCCTGTAAAATGAAATCATTCTTTTGCAGATTTTACACTAGTTTTCGACACCCCTCGGAAGTCTTAGCCCAGCTTTCGACCATCAGTTTTCGACAGTCAGTGCTATTTTCGCAATTTTTATCTTTTGGAAATACAAATTTATTCGCCTAACTATAAAAGAAATGTTAAATAATAGTTAATTTCAAACTGTTTCACTGTAAACTATCTTTTTACTATAATGAAAGTATATAAATTTAGACCAGTTTGTGATCGCATGTCTTACAAAATGTAGGGAAAAATGCCTACTTTGCCATTTTGGTTTTAGGATACTTTCTATAATTTCATATTAACGATAGGATGTCGAATAATAACCCTAACCTTTGTTCTGTGACCTAACCTCTCTCTTCTTATTTGCTACTGTAAGCCATGTGACAGCAGCCATGTTTTGATCAACGTTTTTAGAATCAAATTTTCTTTCGGATAAATATAAACTTGGAATAGATTTTTCCACTCCAAGGTAATTAATTTTAGATGTAATATGACAACATATTCTTATTCTCCCTTGGGAATATCGTATTTCATAAAAAGTTTAATTCATAATTTTTTTTTTAAAGTTGTTTTTTGAGGACAGTTTTTGTTCGAGGGTCAGTGCTTCATACTGTTTACATCGTAAAACAATATCATTTTACCAGTGGCATAGAAATGGATAATTAGAAAATCTTATTAAATCTGGGGGTCGGGAATTGGGGGAAGGGGGAGGCGCGAAAACTAACGTAGGTCGAAAATTAGCGACTTACCCTGGCCTACTACTAGTTCTTGTCTAATACCTCTTTTACACTGCCAAATCCCGGGTGCATTTCCCATTCACATCGAACGAAAAAGTCCGGGTTGATCCCGAGTTGCTCCCATTTTACACTGGCAACGAACTCGGGTTCAAATACCGCCCTCAGTTTTTGTTGCAATGGTGATCAAAGATCTTATAAACACAAGATAGCGTTCTCCGGGATTTACGCGTGCAAATTCTGTAATAAGGCATGAATGGCGCCCTCTTGCTAAATTGGAAACTTTTGACCCTTGACCGCTCTGATCTGACCATACACTGTGAACAGGGAACAGGAACCATCTCAGATCCATGGCAACAGATAGGACGCCCTCTTCCAAAACTTATTACTTTTTCTCTTCGGTAATAGCGCATGAATGGCGCCCTCTTGCTAAATGGGAAACTTTTGAACCTTGACCGACGCTTCTATTTGTTGCGCGTAAATCGCGGAGAACGCTATCTTGTGTTTATAAGATCTTTGATGGTGATTATCACTTTGCTAGAGTTCCTCGTCGTCATAAAGCCACAAATTGTCAATTATTAAAGCAATGTACTTGCAGATTGTTTTTAAATTATGCGAATTAAATCAGCAGTTTTGATATCAAGTCTATACTGCAGCGTAGAGGGTTTAATTTGACAAGTGTCTAGGTCTAGCCCGTTGTAGTAGGCAAAGTATAGGCCTATCTGACCACGCTGCGGTAGGCGCCCGGTAAGGACTAATTCCGGAATCAAATTCGGTGCTGTTTACACTGGCGACTCCGGAATGCACCCAGGTTGTCCTACGCTGAATGTGTCCCGCACGTAACTCCCTGAATGTTTGAAAACCTGAGTAAGACTTTTTGACATTTACACTAACCACAACTTGGGAGATTTTAAGCCGGGTATTGGAAAATCCCAGGTTATGTCTGGAATTTTGCTTGCAGTGTAAAAGGGGTATTTAAAATTTTAGTAACAACTTGATAAGGCCAAGTAAAAAAAAAAACATGTTTCACGTCCGGCTTTTTTTTTAAATTGAGGAAGCGGCCTTTTTTATTTTTTATTTTTCAAAATGGCCGCCATTCTACAGACTTGTTGACATTTCCCGTCTAGTTTTGTTCAACATATAAAATTTAGGAATCATTGTTACTGTATACAATCGGAATGTTCCCGATGTTACGTCTCAGACGTCTTCACATGAAACTATTCCATACAATCTGACATAGAGGGCCAGTATAGCGGGAAATTCCAGAATTCATCGGAAATCATCGGCCGTATTCGATTGGGACTTTCGTGCTCTGCTCAACGGAAACTGCTCAACGAAGTTAACGCTCAGAATTTATCGTTGAGTTTTCTACTCAACGGGATAACATACTCAACATATAGTCCCAATCGAATACGGCAATTGTATGCATGACAAACGCACTCTAGTGAAGTGAACTCGAGTTTTGCCGCCTTACGCCCAGAGTAGGCGACGGCCTAGCCTAGAGATATCGGGCTAGCCTAGGCCTAGCCTAGGTAGAGATATTGGGCTAGCCTAGGCATAGCTTTACTATACGAAAGGTTAGACGAAGATATTGCACTATTTTAGGCTAGGGTATATTTTAGGCCAGGGTATTTATTTTCCAACATTTAATTCTAAATTTTCGATATATTTTTTCTTTATTTTCATGAATTTTCCAAAAATAAAAAAATAAAAAAAAAATCAAGGCGGGCGAAAAAAACGATACGGGCGGGGACGCGAAACATGTTTTTTTTTTTATTTGGCCTAATCAGTAAACTAAATATGGCCCTATGGGCGGAGTTGTTTGGTTAGTATTCGCTCTACCTACAAACAAGGACTAACTAAGGCTTAGGTACTACTTAGCATAACTTATCTACGAAAAAATGCTCTCTCAGAGGAGCCCTGCCAAGAATGTTATTCATTATTGTTAGGCCTGGTGGTGTATCCACCGTCCATGCCACCACCTCGTTGTGCAGGTCATCAATTCACGCGTGGATCGTCGGGCTCTGCAGCTCAGGGATTTTTAGCAGCCTAAATACACTCAAAAACATGCTTTACCGACAGATACTACTAACTAAATTATATCATGCTTAAGCCTGATTATCAACACATGATTATGTTGCTCATTTTATCAAAATAACGTAAGATTACAAGTGAAATATGGTAATATACTAACTCTGAAAAACCCTGCATCAGCCATTGCTTGGTCCTCCTGTTGATCGCCGATACTACGTTCGGAATCGTTCGGGGAACCTGTCGATCTCTACCGGCGTGGCGCGTCATATCCGGTCCAGGGGGTGAAACTTATGGAACGCCGTTACTGCCTTTGGTGGCTCTTTTCCGTTCGGCGCATTTGCTATTCGGCCCTTTTAACATTACGTTCGGTGCTTTTACATTACGTTCGGTGCTTTTTACATTACGTTCGGTGCTTTT